AATATTCCAAGATTAAGGCGTACTAATCTGTGATTCCCAGGAAGCCCCTCCCAGCGGCGATTGGACCCATTGTCTGCAGTTCTACTCTTTAATTAACGGTGCATTCTCCGCGAATGTAGAGTGCCTGAGCCTATGTGGCTTCTGGTAAGCTATTGGCAGGATTCGGGATCGCTAGTCGTAGCTAAGTTAGTCTCTAGATCGCAGATATGGTCGCGGGAAGCCAGCATAAACGCGCTGCTGGGGGTGTGCCTATACCGTGAGGAGCCAAAGAGTCCCACAGAGATAATGCGCGGATACCGTTTCTCAGTACACAAATGCTGCCCGATTGCGGTACTCGCCGCGGATTCTGAGGTATGTTTGTCGTCCTTGGTTACGCATCCTTGTACTCATGGTGGTACCGTATTGCAGGTGTAGCTATTCTTACAAGGGATAAAGAAAGACTGAACAATTCCAGTTCATTTTGCATTCCCTCTCACCATCAGGCTCCGCATCTTGGGTAAGCTACTCCATCTATCTCGACCTACACGCGCCGTCAACATCTGAGTCCCCGGAATAACACCGATCGAGAACGTATACCCAGTCAAGGCAACCCCAGCCTCACTAATCCTGGCCCGTGTATGTGAAGCTTTCACACTCGAAGTCAGATCTTATTGGAGGTTTCAACGTGTGGACGTCGAGAATCGAATTTCGGTAGATCTGTGTCAGATCGTTCGCGGAGACCTAGCTATGAAGGTTAACCTTCAAGCATTCTGCCATTGATGTGCCCGATATTACTCCGAGTAAGAGTCGTGTACGCACCCACTAATTTGTTGGCATTCGGTGCCTACTCGCATTTGCCGGCGAATTACCTGGTAAAGATTACTTAATCTTAACGCCCATGTCGGTGTTACCATATAAGGTAATTGTACGCATCAATCTTTGCACGACCCCGTGCGATTTATCGAACGTGATTAGGCGTTTAGAAATGGTCAATGTGACCTCGGTGGTCAACTTCCTTCAAGCCAGGATCAGAAAACGAACAGGCAACAGCCCCTTCAGAAGCAAAGGCCACCCCACATGCCATCTGCGAGAAATGATGAAGATGGAGATTTACGACACAGAATTGCGCTATAAAACGCCTCAAGCAAACAATCGGTATAACCTCGGTTTCCCCTGTAAACCATCGAATTTACATCCCACAAGGCGAAGATTCATTTTTGCTATGGTCGCGATTTTTTTGGTCGCTTTTCTTTCTATGTATGCGCACCTCCATGTGCTAGGAAAGCGGTCGTCAAATCTCCAGGCGGATTCGCTGTCAAGGGTATCTGAATCGCCTAATATTACCTACTCGTTGAATGTTTCAACCTGTCCAGGTGAGTGTGTACATATGGATGCCATTGATGCAGAACTTACGATTCACTGATTTCCAGGGTACACCTTGCAGTCGTTGCATGAGACTAAGAATGGTCTTACCGCTCAACTCAACCTTGCTGGACCAGCTTGCAATGCCTTCGGAAAAGACGTTGCGAATTTGACGCTTGAAGTTACGTACGAGACTGATGCAAGGTAATTGACTTCCTTTTAGCTTCTGGCTCTGCACGGGTGCTCATTCCTTTGCCGTTTGTATAGATTGCACGTCAACATATTTGACACAGCGAATTCGCAGTTTACCATACCTGCCTCGGTCATCTCTCTGTCATCTGGATCGAAAAGCGTCAACAAAAATAATTCTGATCTTGTCTTCAACTTTGAGACATCCCCGTTTGCATTCTGGATCACTCGTCGTTCTGATCCCGAAAGTCAACCGTTATTCGATACTCGAATCTCTTCACTTCCTCCGACACCAATCGCTCCAATCAACTCCTCAGACAATTCGACCGCATTGAATGGGTTTCCTCTCGTTTTTGAAGATCAGTACCTTCAACTAACATCGGCTTTGCCGCTGGGAACCAATATTTATGGTTTAGGAGAAGTCGTTGCTAGTAGCGGTTTCAGACGGGACATAGGTACCAACGGTGGGAATGGGACATTGCAAACCATGTGGGCCAGAGATTCAGCCGATCCTATTGACGAAAATGAGTAGGTCATTGGGCTCCACCAATAGAACGAGTACACCTAACCCCCGAGACTGATCCACCACTGTTTGCTACCAGGTACGGTGTTCATCCGATATACATGGAACACAGATTCGACTCAGTTACTCAGAAGTCGCAAACGCATGGGGTGTTCTTGTTCAGGTCAGTTCTTACCGTTGCTCGTCAGGGTTCTTGAGCTTGACAAATGCATGTTGTATAGTGCTGCTGGTTCCGATATCTTGCTGCTAACGCCTCCATCCTCCAATGTTTCACTCGTCGAATATCGTATGATTGGCGGCACACTCGAATTTTACTTCTTCGCCGGACCAACACCCAAATCTGTCATACAACAATACGGAGAACTCGTTGGGTTTCCAACTTGGCAACCAGCTTTTGGATTCGGTTTCCACCTTTGTAGATGGGGCTATACTACGGTGAACGAGACGAAAGAGCAAGTCACGAAAATGCGTGAGGCTAATATTCCTCTGGAAGGTATGTAGAATTATGATTACGCGTCATCGTCGGACAAGGAGAACGATTCTAATGATATTTCTCGTTTTGGTTCAGTTATGTGGAATGATATAGATCTCTATCACGCCTTTCGGGACTTCACAGCTGACCCAACTTCATTCCCTCCTTCGGAAGTGAAAGCTTTCATCGATGAGCTGGTGAGTTGCATTGGTTGAGACCTTAATAACCTGAACTTACACACTTCCTTCTGGTCGAAGCACGCAAATAATCAACATTACATCCCCATTGTTGACGCAGCAGTTGCCAAGACAGTCAACTCGACAGATGTCGTGAGTCAAATAGATCTTCACCCCACTGTGATATCATTCTAATACCGCTTAATATTAGTACGATCCTTACACTCGAGGAGCTGAGCTGTGAGTCGCATATGTCCTTTCTCTTTCCTGTAGTAGCACTCATCGTATTCGATTAACAGAGGCACTTTCGTCAAGAACCCAGATGGAACCGAGTATATCGGTCAAGTTTGGCCAGGTTATACAGTCTTCCCAGACTGGTTCGCTGAGAACACGGAATCATGGTGGACAGAGGCCTTAGGCAATTGGTCGAAGATCGGTGTAGACTTTGATGGTATCTGGTTAGACATGAACGAGATATCATCCTTCTGCGATGGTTCATGGTAAATTTCTATTCCCTGGAACAGTATTCGACCAGCATTGCTGATTTCGTATCTTGTTGGTTTTAGTGGAAGTGGTGCAGACTTGAGTAACACAACCGATCCTTTCTTCTTACCGGGGACCCCAGAAGATTTGGTTGTTGATTATCCCGAAGGGTATGTTCTACATAACATAATCCAAGTTAGTTGTATCAACTTGAATAACGGTTGGATTGTCACAGTTACGACTCAACAAAATGGGGACCAAGCGGAAACATAACCATTAACGGAACATTGACATTCGGATCTGATACTCCAACAATCAAGTTGAACAAACGAGGCTTAGGGGCAGGAAATCAGTCTGGTGTGGATCTCAACTCCCCTCCGTATGCTATTCATAACGGTGAGCAGTCGTTAGAAAACCAACGGTCAATACATACTAACGCAGGGTCTAGGCAACGGTCCATTGTCTGTAAACACCCTCGCTACCAACGCCACTCATGCTGGTGGCTTTGTCGAACTCGACACTCACAGCCTCTGGGGCTTCATGGAAGAGAAAGCAACACATCACGCTCTTCAATCCCTTCACCCCACTAAACGCCCGTTCACGATTGCCCGTTCGACTTTTGCAAGCTCTGGAAAATGGACTGGCCATTGGCTCGGTGACAATTTCAGCAAATGGCAATACATATACTTAAACATTCAAGGTGTTCTTCAATTTCAACTTTTCCAAATCCCTATGGTCGGTGCGGATACTTGTGGATTTAATGGTAATACCGACGAAGAGTTGTGTAACCGATGGATGCAACTTTCGGCGTTCATGCCGTTTTATAGGAATCATAATGAGAGGGGTGCTATATCTCAAGAGCCTTATCGTTGGGACAGCGTAGCCAATGCATCAAGAACTGCTATAGCTGTTCGGTATGCAATGCTCCCGTACTGGGTGAATATTCAATGTTTTTCCTGTTTTTTAGCGTCGGCTGAGTTTCTTTTCAGTATACATTATTCGCCAATGCTTCCATGGAGGGTACTCCTCCTGTCAGAGCCCTATTCTTCGAATTCCCAGACGAGCCTGAGTTATTCGGAATCGACAAACAATATCTGATCGGCAGTGATATTTTGATAACTCCAGTGCTTTCTCCTAATGTGTCAACAGTAGAGGGCAAGTTCTTTTCTTCCATTGGTCATTTTGATAGATCGTATTCTGACCTTTTTTCTTAATTTTGACAGGCATCTTCCCCGGACGTGGAAAGGTTGTTTGGAGGGACTGGTATACCCACGATATTACAAACGCATCTAATGGAACTGCCTTACTCTCGGCACCCCTTGGACATATCAATGTTCACATCAGAGGCGGAGCAGCCTTACTCCTCCATGCGAAACCTGCGTATACTATCACCGAAACCCGTTCAGGACCGTTTTCACTCCTTGTATCTCAGACGGCCAGTGGGTATGCATTCGGAACTGCTTATATTGACGATGGAGAAACGATACCTCCGACTCCGAACACGACTTTGACATTTAAGGCTTCCAGAGGAAGGTTGGAGTTGTCGTCGAAAGGAACTTTTAATATTGCGCAGAAATTGGACTCTGTGACTATTCTAGGTGTATCCACTCAGCCGAAGAAACTAACTGTGGCGAACAAGAATCTTGCTCCATCTGATTGGACGTATCTATCGGCGCAACAAAAATTGGTTTTGTCGGATGTCGATGTTGATCTCAACGTTGGAACAGTCATTGCTTGGAGTTGATCATTTCTTCAGAATGTTTGTGCGTAACTTGTGTATTCTCTATCGATTTCTATCAAAAACATGTAACATCTGTGCCAGGAAGGTGGATTGAACACCTGACCTGCAGAAATCAGTGGAAGATTGCCTCGATTGCAAACAACATCTTCAGTCTGTCGCTCTCCCAGCTGAGCTATCCCGGCATGAAATTCCAAAGTATATTCCTGAAGGTCACGGTTGTAATGATTTCAGACCTCAATTATCTAATGTTTTCCGATTACTGCACGCCCTACAGCCTGAGTAACGGGGCTTGTTTCCGCCGCCACTTTTTGGGACACTTCCTAAAAAGGCAAAGGCTTTGGATCCTAACAGTCTAACAGATGCAAACAGCAAGATGTTCAGAAACTCAGAGACCAGACCACCATAGATTCATGCACTACTGGCACCCGCGCGGTACTCTAGTGCATCCACGTACCGTCGGATTGAAATGAAATCCGCTTCCTACTCTACGGCATAGCTTGGACGGAACCTCGGATACTAGCAGCTACCCCGGAGCACTCAGCATGTATGGTCAGTATTGAAATCTCATCCGTTCGCAATGTCTTCCGCACCGTAGAAATCGACGGGTCTCTTAGTTGTCAAAGCGGTAAGTGAAAGCGGTGTTCATGTAATGCGAAAGGATGCAACTTAGGTTCCGATACAGAAAACATATAAAAGCCCCCATATTTTTCGGACTTAGCAGCTTCATCTATCCACACCACCCCTCTTACCTCTGCCAAGCACTACGACTTCCAGGATGAAGTTAACCACCTCTTTCGCTACTTTGTCATTTGCTATCCTCAGCTCCTCGGCTCCTGTGGATCAGGAGTCAGGAAACACTAAGGTCACATTGAACAGACGTTCTTCGTTTGTAATGGATGGTGGTAGTGTTGACCACTCAGCCATTCGTAACCATCTCGCACATATTTCTGCGTAAGTTTCATATCTGTTTCTTTGCTTGTCAATCCAACGCTCATTGATTTTACAGGAAACTCAAAAAGGGATTTGAAGTCTACGAAAAAAATACCGGTAAACCGCATCCCCTGGCAGGGTCAGGTTCGGCCAAATCGTCAGATGAAGATCATGTCAAAAGGTCTTCGAGTGGTGATGAACTCCAGGATGATTCCAACATGCTCTGGCACGGTTCTATCACTGTTGGTACTCCCCCACAAACTTTCCAAGTCGATTTCGATACCGGAAGTAGTGATATTTTCTTACCCGGTGCTTCGTGTACCTCAAATTGTGATGGACACAAAGCGTATGATGCCAGTCAATCATCAACAGCAAATGCTCTCACCACTCCTTTCCGTTTGTCATACGGCGATGGTAGCAGTGTAGATGGCGAGCAATATACCGACACAGTCACTCTTGCCGGTCTTACTGTGAGTATTCCATCCTCTATCCTCTTGCTTTTACGAACCAGTTTTTCAATATTCAACGTCGATTTAGGCCACGAAACAGACCCTGGGTTCTGCTACTTCGTACTCCCCAGGTTTCAACACACAAAACTTTGCTCCTGACGGATTGGTGGGACTTGCTTTCATGTCCATCTCGGCTTATAATTCTCCGCCATTTTTCCAAAACGTCATGGATCAAGGCCAATCTGATTCTGCTATGTTTGCCTTCAAGCTTAGTGCTGACTCATCAGAGCTTTATGTTGGAGGTGTGAACAACGCACACTACAAGGGTGATTTCGCTTATGCAGCCGTTACGCATGAGGTTTGTCCAGCCCCTTCTTATTTATTCCCAACCCTCGAACTGACTTTGTTGTTTTTGTAGGGTTATTGGGAAGTCAACATGGATAGCGTCTCTGTCGGCGGTCAACAAGTTGCTGGCCAACAATCTGCCATTGTTGACACTGGCACTACTCTCCTAGTCGGCGATTCCAAAACTGTCGCCAATATTTACTCCAACATTCCCAATGCCCAAGCCTCTGATACTTCTGGTCCTGGGATGTATACCTTCCCTTGTAACGCCGTTCCTACCATTAGTCTTACTTTCGGTGGAAAAGCTTTCAACATCGATCCTACGATTTTGAATATGGGAACTGTATCTCCTGGATCTGATCGTTGTGTTAGTGGATTGGTTGCTTCACAATCGTCGGATGATATGAAGTTTTGGATCGTTGGAGATGTGTTTTTGAGAAACGTTTATACCGTTTTTGATGTTGGGAATAGTAGGGTTGGGTTCGCTGATCTTGCTTAGAGGTAGAATAAGAACGTTCATCATAGAAGATACCCCTCATATCTTAGACGTATACCTTCCATTTAGATAGATATAATCAATCAACAAACGATACATAACAAAAAGTTAATTATTCGGAAAGTTCGAATCGCATTGTTCAGTGTCCATTTGAATCGAAAACCTCCGTCTGAATCGTTCAACTGTTTTCTCGAAGACCGCTTTCAAGAATGATTGACTCTGCAGGGAATTGATTAGTTAGGAAGTTCCAAGTTATAGCAGTCTGATACTAACTGGATGAACCATTGCTGGTTGTTGGCCACACAGTTTCCTCCATGAGCGTTTTGAGTCGCCTGGCAGTTGAAAGCAACGAAATCAAGAACAGAAGCCTAACAAAGTAGGTAAATTTTAGCGAGGACAACACAAAAAAATTGAACAGAGGTTTGACTCACCCAATCTGAACGACAGTATTGAAGGGGGATACCGGCTTGGTTGACCATGAAAGAAGTGCAACTACTGTAGGTCATAGTAATGACAGCAGTGTTATTGGCGGGATTCAAGGTGAACAAAGGACCTGAGGAAGGACGAATATCCTCATTTGTTAGTATTGATAATTGAAACTAACGTCAATGCAAACTCACCGATGTTTTGACTATCGAAGAGAAGGGCATCGGTGATGACATGACATTCGTTGGGGTCAGGTCCTCCTCCAGATGGGGTGAAGCAGTTGGTAGTGCCTATGAAGAATTCAAAATTAATCAGGCTCACTTCCAAAAAGACAAACGAAAAATTTGAAAACGTACAGGGAGCACCGCAGACGTTTGTCTGACGACGTTCGAGTTCACCGTCGCGAGCAGAAACATCTTGAAGTGGAACGATATCGTCACATCGAAGGCTCTGCACCTTGACATTCTTGTCTTTCCCGATGAACGTCTCGCTCACGACGGTAGGGGATTGACAGAATGCAGACAACGCATTTTCATGAGCAACGGCCAATGAAAGAGCACTGCCTGTGAAAAGGCCAAGGAGGGGGAACAAAGAAGTAACGATGGAAAGACGCATTATTGTGGAGATAACCTGCTGCAGTGGATGTGAGGAGGCTATCGACTCAAAGCCTTACAACCCCAGCCTTTTATAGGACTCGTACCCACCGACCATAAGTCGGGTGATATCACGTTGTTGGAAACTACAAACGTTCAAGGCAACCACCTGGACATTGATGTAGAAGGAGGAGCAGACGGCACAGAGTTCCATCACAAAGAATCGTGATCAAATTCAGTCTTCTGTACGTCAGAGATGTGTTGAATAGGAGACGGATCCACCTGCCGATACATCAAAGAGAGAAAAGCTATATCTCTGATGATATGACGTCGGGCTAAATACACCGTTGAGGATTCCTATGCAGCCCCGCCGAATACAATATCCATGTGCTCCTTGTCATTTCTCGTCGTTAGGTCGGCGTAAAATCCCCAAAGAGGTAGCAGTGATAGGTTTGAAACAGAGAACGCAAGTCATCAGGCCTTGGGCCTAGGTAAAGGCGACCAAAGAACTAGACAGATCGGAAGATGTGAAGAAGTGAAGAGATTGAAGGGCGTTGAATATTGGACTTCGTCGTCTTTCTATTTTGAGAGATCGTGCGGCATTGTGGCGCTTCGATGTTTCGGTGTAGCGAATGAGATAAGCGCACGACATAGGCCATAGGCTAAATCCTAAAGGTTACAAGTTCAATTCAAGTTTGGAGAATGACTGTAATGGTGGAATAACAATACCCAGCATTTGTTATATATTTTGGTCATACGCCAACAAGAGTGAATGACCGTGTAAAAAAGAAGTTCTGTACTGTGGTAACCGGTAACGTTGACAATTGCATTTGGGTGTATTTTGATATCAGTGTAGCTGTGATTCAAAAATAGGTGGTCGATCCAGCCATTGACGACTAGACGTGATCAATGTGAGTCAAGAATAACAGAGATATTTATGGAAAGAATAACCTGCGTTGAACGAACTTCACTGAATTGACCAGGCTCGGTGAATTAGAACATAGATTGGTAGCGGCCTGGTTTTGACCTGCACGATAATTGGACACAACGTCCATGGACTATCAATCCAACAAAAGGAGAAATTGGATTGATGGGACAGAACACATGCGTTCCATCGCACATAGTTCGGCATGAAAGTCGTTGAGCGAGCGGGGATAGTAGGGCGAGCTACCAATTCCGAGCCCCATTTGACTGTGTGGTCTGGAATAAAAGATCCTTGATACTATGTATGGGCCGAGTCTGATTGAGGAAGACTGTCATAGCAGAAATAGATGGAATCATGAAGATGACAGTATTATTTCTCAAGGATTATGCACTCACATGTAGGACGTTCGAGGTGGTTTGACCGTGCCTGAGGAGTACGTTTGCATCAAGATGATGTTGGTCAGAAATGGTCAAGAGAAAGCTCACAAGGAATTCTTCATCCGCCCTAAGTCTGGTGTCCCCCAATTTGAGAGTACTTGTGTTCCTACACGGAATTCACCGAACCATTGTATTTGTATTATGGTATGACATTGTGAGGAACCCTTCTTCGCAAATAATGAGCTGATGAGGGGTCCGGTCACTCTACATTCAAGAGTAGGTCACGAAGATGCTGGATCAGCACATTTCAGCAATGGTTTCTAGCAGTAAAAGTCCTGTCAATCTTTTGTTGCTTCTAGAGGGGTATGCTGGGCTTACATTGCTTTCATCGAAAAGCCTGAATGAATCGTCGTCGGTATACTGTCCCATAATCGAAAGAGATAAATGAACAACTTAATGTGCCCACAATGATCGCTGTCTATATTCTAGGCAATAAATTTGAAGCTGAAAACCCACTCGATGATTAGAACGCTTGGCATGATTTCTGAGCTGTGCAGACAAAGGCAAGACAAATAATCTATTCGTGGAGAAGAACTAGTTTGTGCATTAATTTCACCGGCGCTGCTGCGGCTGGTGCTCGG